CTGCAAAGTATAACACTTATTTTAGCCATGTGCACGAGGTATCATCGGCTGTGCATCACACACATTAAACATCTTGACATCTGCCTTGAAATTTTCAGTAACTGTGTTTTTCTCCACAAAACTTCTCAAATTCCTCCTAGTGTTGTAATTCCAAAGCTGTCAACCATATCAAGGGACTTTCTGACTTCCTCCTAACTTAGGCTTTTTTCCTTTGTGTGTGGTTGTGACTGCAGCTGCCAATATAAGAAGGAAATGCTAGGAAACACATAGGGCACTGTAACAGAGGGACTATGGAACCACAAAAAGTAGACAAGTTTACAGTTACATTTGGCTGAACTTAGGTACAACCTGGAAAACCTTTCCAGTTGTTTCAGGAAGAACAGGAAAAAGAAGAAATAACGTGTATTCTTGCAAAGTCTCGTAAAACAGCAGAATAATTGAGGGGAAGACATTCACCTTTCTCCTTCCTTTTCTTCTTTCCCCTTCCTGTTTTCCTTAATTTGAATTAAGTTTCTTTCTGAACTGTTGCTGTCCAGTTCCAACTACTATGTGTGTCACTGACCTATAAAAGCTGACAAGCTGATTCATGAAAGGGTGAAACTGTTATCTTTAAATGACATAAGCAGTGACAGCTTTTTGCTATTAAGTCCTATAGGTGATCTTTGCAATCTCGTTGATGATCATGACGTCTGAGAAAAAAAATAGAAATCTGTTATGTTATTCTGAAATCACTGTTAGATTGAGTCTCTGAATAGTACTTTTAACAGTGCTTGGGAAGCTAATTTTCATAGTTTTATAATTGATTTCAAATTTATATGCCTTATTCATGCAAAAATTAATAGAAGTTGGGCTGCCAGAGATCTCAAAACCTTCAGAATTTGTTATAAAATATCTTTTTTTAACTTGACCTTTTAAACCAAAGTACAAAAAAAAATCTTACCAAAGCAGGATATTACATTGCCAGTAATTATCATGATGACATGATGGGTTTGAAGTAAACATGGGAAAAACGTATAGGCATTGATTCTTGCATATTTAAAGACACTTGCATTCTAGTATGATGACCATAGTAAGAACACTTAGGTGGAGTAAAAGGATCACTAAAAGTTTACTGAGTTCAGTGACAGCTACCATTTACATTTTGTATTTTCATTATCAACCACTGCTGTCTAATTTTAGGTGATTTCTCTGTTATGATAAATCAGAGAAGGGTAGATAGTGTAATCTAATGCATCCAACAAAATGAATTAATCTCTCCGTAAGTGAAAGGATGACTGTGTTAAAGGTGGTGTGAATATGTTTTCAAGCGGCCTGTGTTACAAATAAATGTGGAATTTAGCTTCAGAAAGAGTATTGAAAAAGCTCTGAAAGTATCTGATACAGGCCATCTGAGAATGAGTAATTTGTCAAATATAAGTTTATTTAATAACCTTTAATTGATTATTCATATAGTCCTCAAAAATTGTGCTATTTCTTGATGTTTTACAGTCCTGCTGTGGTGTAGCCTTTTGCCGTTGCCTGCTAATGAATATTAGTGTTATGTTTTAACATATACAGTATGATCTTTTGAATACTTTTCTAAAAAAACCCACTATATAATATGTGCATAGTTGGTTTAAATGATGAGTTAAAAACTTTGGCATGCTATCTAATAATAAATTATATTATGGATTTTGATCATGTGCACTTGTCAGACAGTTCTACTGTCTAGGAAGATACAGGTAATGTATGAGGAAGGCTTATATTTTAGCTTTAATTTAATGAATACTGCATGGTACTTCACATTAATTTATGTGAGAAAGTGAAGTCTACACAGGTTCTTATGTCTATCGAAAAGGTGAAGATAGATTCTTGAGGAGGAAATCTTTGGCAATGGATCTGCTTGGCTATCCCATTGTACTTATTTTTGTTTTAAAATACTAAGACTAACCACATTCTTTTCCAAGCACTGTAATATTTTTTTATTATTATTTATTTTTTCAAACCTGAGAATGACTTGAGTGAACAAAAATGAGATAAAACATGCTTTCTGAGAACACCCTAACAAGTTAGGTCAATATAAAAAATTCCGTTACCTTCAGTGCTTCAGTGTAGTGTAGTCTGTAATTGTTCTCAGTGCACAGTGAACATCAAATCCTTCCATGAATCAAACATCTTGACAGTGAAAAATGCCTTGACACTGGTGATTCTATTAGAATCCTCCAGGAAGTGACTGCAGATTCTCAATCCTATTAAGAGCAGACCTCAGTAACACTACAGAAAATATGTATCTCTTACTGAAAACTTGGCAATGAAGTTAAAGCATGATGGACATATATAACCTTTGCATATGATAGCTTTGGCCAGCTAGAACTCTCATAACCTGAAGATTAACCTATTTTTGTTACTATTATGCACATTCAAAGGATAATTCATTTTAGGTCTATCTGTGGAGATGAAATTGTGTGGCTACCTCAATGTACTTCAATGAAAGTTCTAGAAAAGCACATAAATAATGTAGTTGAATGCTTGATCTTGACAAGTGGTGAAATTCTATGAACTATTACATGTATTATTGAACATGGCTGTCATCCTTGAATCACTCATTTTTTACTGGTCTTTAGGATGTTAGAGAAAATGCATGCCAGTTTCAGGATGGTGAGTCCCATTTTTTAAGGGGTTCTTGGCAGATGTACTGGTAATAAGAAGCAGAGAAACATCATATTGTAGGACACCTTTTTTGCACAGACATAAGACTGATTTGTTGCAATACAATTTCAACAGTAAGCCAGTGCCAGTTGTCACATATATGGCAGGCATGGATTTGCTGTGATGTGTTTTGGGAGTGCAGTTTACCGAAAATCATAGTATATTTGAATAAGGCAATTTTTTTCCAAATAGCTCGCCCACTCATAAAAAAAAATGCTGAGTTTTGAATTGTATAAATATTGCTGCATGCACCAGTTCTTATGATGAAACTACTTCATATTACAGTGTTTTGTAAAAATGCTTTGATTTGAAAATCACAGGAAGTGAGGTTCTTGTTTCAAATGCAGGTATTCTCCTGTGTCAAACCATGTAACTAATTTTTTTTCTGTTTGATTTGTCTTGCAAAAATTACCTGTATTAACTTAACATGACTGAAGCGGCAAAAAGGAGAAAATTTGCCAAGAGAAAGGCAGCATTTTTAATAGTGCTAGAAAACATATAATAGCCTATAGCAATATATGCTGTAGCGTATAATGGATCGTTGCTGCTATTTTTCTGGAATGTAAAGTAGTATCTTTATTTTATTCCAATTATTCTGATGTCTTAAAATTACTTTATATGTATTCATTTTCATATATGTGAATCAAACACTGACTCTCTTGCCAATGGGAATGAGCACATCCAGAGAAATATCCTACTCTATTAAGCCTGCTGAAACAGCATAAGGGAAGTCGGGTATCACATTTTTCACTTCTAGCTTTGGTAACTACTGACTCAGAAAGCTTAAGTAGTTCCTGTAATGCAGAGAAATCTTAAATCCCTTATCTGCAGCTTTGGTAGAACATTCGTTTAGCCTCATCACTCATTAGAGTGTTATGTCACTTTTGTTACTTTGTTAATATTTAGAGAAGATTTTGAGATTTTCCTCATAGAAGGATGTTGTGAGTGAAACTGTTCTCTTTTTAAACATTTTTAGCTTTACAATTTTTTTGCCTTTTCATAATTTTCCTATATAATTCAGGTTGTAACTTAAGAGTAATTGTGATCATTTAAATTCCAGTGTGACTAACTGTTTGAGTAATGAATTAGGAGTATGCATTCAATAACTGAACTTACATGGTATAATGGGGCTTAATTAGCATTGGTATATTGGTATAATGCTTTACAGCACTCTGAAGATGTGCATGTATTGAGCAATTAATCCTCTCAACATGTAGGTTAGTGAGGTTGGTATGGCTGTGTTTATTCTGCAGATGGATAGAGTAAGGAAAGAGAGAAATCTGGGTAATAAAAATTGCCCATGTAACTTGCGGTTTCTGAAACGATACCTGAATTACACATGACCACCATTTCTTTGATGAACACATTTATATTTTGTGCGCTGTTCAAGACATATCTCAGCTTCCTGCACTTATTTGTTCTCCTCTGAAAGAAAATTAAACAATTCAAGTTTGTACTACTACAAAGTCTATTAATAATTTCAAATGAGGTTGAGAACACAAACAATTTCACTTCCTTCCCCCAACACATTTTTGCTTTGGGTGGAGGAGTATCATCTTTAAACTGATAACTTGTTTAGACAATCTCTGCCAAATAACTAATGCTTACAAATGGTAGTAACTTTCTGCAATAGAAAAGAAGATAAGTATGTCCATTCATATCAGCCCAATGTCACTGCCTAGTCATTGTTTCCTTCATATTTTCTGTTTCTATTAAAAAAAGTTGGCTTCATTTATTTTCTAGAACCTGGAGTAATTTGAAAAGAAGTAGAAAACAAAACTTCTTAATATATATTTTAGACTTTACTGTCAGAGACTAGTTAATTATTTGTTTCTTTTAAATTTCAATACTGTCGACTAAAATGAAAACTATGCATAAAGTGCCTTCTACTCCCTGGTTCTGTAATCGTATTTTATGAATATTTTTGCAATTCCTACAAAAAAAGAATTTACTAAAAACTTTCTTTAGTTTATTCAGAGTTTCGGGAGAAACAGCAAGATTTATAGGATATCTTATTTGTAAACAGATCTATAAAGAACTTCACTGAAGGACTGTTAAATCAAAAACTGAGTTTGTAATTATCTTTGTATGTAATGATGTCTGTTATAAACTGAAATCTTCTATGAAAGTGTATTCATATACTTCTATGAAAATATAGCCTAGTTTTGCCTTATTTGTATAAGAAATACTATTTTAAGATATAGTTTTAAAAAACAATAAAACAAATTATGTAATTGTAGTTGTTTGACCAGTGTTTATTACTTTGTTCTGCAGACTTAGCTGTAACTAATTTTCTTTCTTTCCTTTTATAGTATTACCTAGTCATACTTGTGGCAACCCAGGAGAAATACCTAAAGGAGTACTTCATGGAACAAGATTCAACATTGGAGATAAAATCCGATACAGTTGTGTCTCTGGTTATATCCTAGAAGGGCATGCCATGTTGACATGTATTGTGAGCCCTGGAAATGGTGCATCATGGGATTTTCCAGTTCCTTTTTGCAGAGGTAAAAATGAAGATTTTAAATATGTTTAAAATATTAAGACAATATTAAAACAGCAGATTAAGTAAATTTATTTTGAGGTTTGTTTTTGGTCTGTTTGGAGTTTTTTTCTTTCTAAATGCAAGTGTACTAATGTGCTGTCTAATGTGCTGTACTAATGTACACCTTTAAAAACTGTAATCACAATTCAGAAGCAATTACTCCCCAGTGTTTACATTCAGAGGTAGATGTTTTCTACTGATCTTTTTTCCTTTTCATTTAGATGGGGGATAGCTATAGCAATTTGTCTGCAATTTGACCTGGCAAATGTTTTTGCAAGTTTGGTAACTTTCTGGCAGTGAGCAGAAGCTTGAAATCTTCAACCATATGGTCATTGAAGAGGACCTCTGATGGTCCAATCTCTTTGAGTCCAACTCCTGCTCAAAGGATGGATGACTTAAAAGTTAGGTTAGGTTGCTCAGGACTTTGCTTAGTTGAAATTTTAGAATCTTCATGAGTGGAGATTCTAAAGCTTCTCTGGAAAGCTGCCTAGCTGCCCTCATTCTATGTCCAATGAGAATTCTCTTTTTACAGATTATGTCAATTTCCTTTATCTTCTTGTCTACCTGTTAAAAGTTTCTGGTTCCAGCTTTCCTAAACTAACAAGTTAGGTTTTCTCATAGCATACTCTTGTCCATGCTGAAAAATCTATTTCTCTCATTCTCTTTACTCATACATCATGTATTTCAGCATCTTTAGTAGGCCTTCTCTGGACTTGTTCTAGTCTGTCAATGTCAGTGTCTCTTTTTTATGGGGAACCTGAGGGTGAACACAACATTTCAGATGGGGCCTACTGATTGTCAAGTAGATGAACTCTCTTTAACTCTCTTTTTGACTGCTGCCTGTGTTCTTGCTCATGCTACCTAATACAAGGCAAGCCTCCAATGCTGCAGAAGTGCACTACTGACTCAGCTTGTGTTTCTCTAGGACCTCAGTTCATTTTGTCAAAGCTGCCACCTAGCAAATATTTTTTGCATGGGATGATACTGTTCTAGGTATTTCACTTTGCATTTCTGTTTTGGAATTTCATGAGATTCCTGTCTGCTTATTCTTCCAGCTTTTCAAAGCCTGGCATCAAAGCCTGTCTGAATGGCAGTCCTGCCCTTCAGAGTGCCATCTCCAAACCTTTTCAGGGTGCATGCAATCCCATACTCCAGACTCCTGTTGAAGATATTATATACATTCAGCCCCAGCTTGAATCCCTGGGGAGTGCTGCAAGTCACTGACAAGTAGTTTGCCTTAAACAAGTGGCCTCTACCATCTGAGCCTGTTGGTCCAGACAGTTTTTCATGCACATAATAGTCCACCCATCCAGTCTATATGCCCTCAATTTTACTACAAGCAAAGTTGTGAAAACTTTGTTAACATCAAGCTAAACGCTTTAATCAAAGAAATCAGTCACGTGTGCCAAGGATTATTTGCACTGGCAAAACCTGGCTGTTTCTGTTCACCTTTTTCTTCTTTGTGTGCTTAGGATTGGTTTTCATAAACTCCTTCTCCATCATTTTCTGGAGGTGAACTTGACAGATACCCAATTGCTAGGATCCTTGCTTTTTTTGAAAATGAGAACAAAAAATTTTGTTTTCCCCAATCATTGGGAATCACCTTGATTTTCACAGCCTTTCAAAGATGATACAGAGCAGCCTCACACTGTGGCACAGCAAGAATCCCTCGGAGCATTCCATTAAGTACCATGAACTTAGATGTCTCCTATTTACTTCTATAATTTTTTGTATTGTTTCTCCTGTGCAGTGACTACTTTTCTTCCCAAAACTTCCCATTTTATTGAGAATTAGGAGGCCTGAGGGCAGCCTTTGCTAATGGAGAGAGAGGCAAAGGGGATGCTGAGTGACCTTTTTCCATGTCTTCCTCACAAAGTCACTTTACCCTTTCAGTTTCCTTTTGTTGTCGGTATACCTATAGAATAGTTTCTAGAATGACTGTTCTTAACATTCCTTACCACTTTCATTCCATCTTCAGGCTTCCTTCTTCTATCCCTGCATTCCTAAGCAACACTTCTATATTCCTTTCAAGTAGCTTGTCCCTGCTTTCTCATTTTGCACATTTTGTACACTGCGATTTTTTGTTTGTTTTCTTCATGTATTTCACTTAAAACACCTCAGTCAGGAATTTAATGTTCAGCTCCAGCAGCCTCCTGCTATGCCTGCTCATTTATGTACATAAATAGATGCATCATTGTTAAGCTTTGAGGAAGCTCCCCTTGAAGTTAAGCAAGCTCTCCTGGGCTCCCTTCCCCTTCAAGACATCAGCCTGTGAGAGCCTGTCTATCACTTCACAAACTAGTTGAAATGTTCTCTGCTGAAGTCCAAGGAGTTTATTCTAGTACTTGCCTTCCTCACTTCCTTCACAGTTTTCGGTTCATGATTATTGTATCCACAGCTGCCATTGAATATCACTTATTTAAATGGTTCTTTGTTCCTACACCTAGTTGGCCTGTCCAGTGCCTGCATTAAAAAAATTCTTTCCAGTGAACTCAGAAATCTAGTGTATTGCTTGCTCTCTGCTACATTGCTGTCTACACAGATGTTGAAGTTTCCCATGATAACCAGAGACTGTAGTTGGGAAACTTGCAGTTGTTTAAAGGGTTTGACCATTTCTTGATCAGGTTGTCTGTAGCAGATATTCACCATAATGACCGCCCTCTTGGCTTTCCCTTCCCACTGTAGCCCACAGAAGCTCAATGAGCTTGTTGTCTGTTGTGCAGCAGAGCTGTATTCATTCAAGACCCTATTTTGTGTAGGGTGCAGCCTCTCCTTTTCTTCCTGCTTTTCCAAAGAGCTTGTGTCTATCCATTGCAGCGCTCCAGACAGGTAAGCTGTCCCACTAAGTCTCTGTAATGCCAATGGCACCACAGTTCTGTGACTGTACAGGCACTTGCATTTTGTCCAACTTTCTTCCCGTGCAGCTCATCCTTGTGTATATGCACTTCAACTGGGCTTCGATTGGTGTTGCTTTATGCAGGGGAAGGAGAGAAGCATTCAGTGGCCTGTCCCATATGTAACTCTCTGGGCCTGTTCTCCCACTTGGTCTGCATCCCTGGCAAACTTAGTTTAGAGCTCTCCTCACTAGATCAGTACGCCTGTTGCCCTGTTCAGCCAGGCAGATTCCATGTTTCCCCTGCTGCCCTCATTCCTTGAAGAGGATCCTGTGGTCAAAGAAGTCAAAGCCCTATTGCCCAGCACTAGTTGCTTAATCAAGTGTCGTTCTATAGGAATCTGATGCTCCTGCCTGAGCTTTTCCCTTTGCATTAAGGAGAACCCCCTCTGGTCTCTTATGCCTTTCACCCTAATCCCAAACCCTGTGGACAGCCTTTACTGCTCAAATTCTCTCTTGGCAGTATTATTGCTACCCATGTGGCTGAGCATGGTAGTTGTTGTCTTCTGTAATAACTTGTAAAGGTTTCTTGAGCCTGAAGGATCTTTAATGTCATTCCTCACAAAAAAGAAATACCTTATAAATTTCTATGCTCAAAAACAAATACAAGAGTTAATAATAATTAAAAAAAAACAAACAAGAGAGATTTGGGTTATGTCTGTTGTTTGTATTTTATTTCAATCACTATGCAATGAAAATTTCTTTTATTAGTGCTTCAAAAACAGGAATAAAAAAAAAATTTCTAACATTTCATTTGTCTCATCTTAGATGTTTTTTTTTTGTCCATCTAGTAAGAGTTAGTTAACATGTTTCAGAAAAATATGCACATTGTAAGTTCATGCTATCATAGTGTCTACTAAATATTTGTTCCATTTCTGCAGGTACTGCCCATTTTGGTGGTGTTTGCTGCATGCAAATATCTCTAGCAGAACTGAAATTTTGTTCATAATTTGTAATTATGTGAATTCAACTTATTAATAAAAACTTAAATGGGGTCCTAAACCCTGTGTAGAACTTACAGGAAATCCAAAGAATTCTGTGTGCCCTCTGTCAAGAAATTAGAATCATAACACAAAAGTTATTTAACAGTTAGTGATTATGTGAGCAGAGCCATTGTCTCAGTAGTTTTTTAGAATTCATGTGGAAAGTGGATTTGATGAGGTATTTTAGACATTCCGTATTTATTATTTATTTTAGACATTCCTGATTTTATCAGTCTGGAACATATGCCATGAGGTAGCCCTTTCCATTCACTATGTCTTCAAGCAAGAGACATTCCTCTATTGTTTCTTTAAGAACTTTGGTCTTTTCCATGAAAGCACTTTTTGTTACGGTTTAATTTACAGATAGCATTCTTCTTTCCTGTCATCGTAAACTAATTTCATGGCAACCAGGCAACATATTATAGGAGAGTTAAATAAAGCTACATGGTCAATATACTGAAAAATCATAAATTTCTTCTCTGTGCTGTGTTTCCCTAGCTTTGCTGATGCTGAAAAATTTCTGTTTTCTGCAATTTTGCTGCTCAATATTTTCAGAAGCATAAGAAGCTGGTGTCCAGTAATTCATACATTGTTTAACTGTACAAATGCTGTTGCTGCTAGAAAAATTCCTAGTGAATTTCTAAGACTCCAGAAAGATGTAGACAGCATTGAGTTTTGTATCTGCCATTTTGTTTCTCTGGCTGCTACTCAGTTTCAGAGTTTCTCTCTTAAGTACAGTTATGTGGAGGTTGGTGGACTGAACTGTACTGCCTATTCAAAGGTGTAGTCAGTGGCATCTGTAGAAAGTTTGAATAACTTAACTGCCAAAACATTTGCTTTATTTTTTGAACTAAGATTTTTCGGTGTGTGAAAATATAGCAACTGAAACAAATAGAAAACAATCCCCAAACAAAAATAGAAAACATCTCCCAAAGAGAAGTTCAAAGACAAATTCTGAAAAGATTACTCAAACTTAGTTCTGTTTTTCCACATGTTAAGAACAGCCATGGACTTTCCTGCTATTCGATGCTACCCAAGAAATTTAGCATGAGTTTCTGCAGCAAACCATATAGGTGGTTTGCAAAA